GGGGGCAGGGGGGGCGGAGGGCCGGCCACAGCTTTGGGGGCTGGCCCCTTTGGCGTGGGAGAAATCCCCGGACGTTCGCAATTTCAGAGGTGGGCTTGGGCAAAAAATGCGGCGGAGTGTGCGAGAGATGTCGGGGCTGTATGCAAGCAAGGCAAAGCTGGAGCCCCAGTGTTTGATCAGACCCAGCAAGTCTAACCCCTGAGAGGACATTGTCACAGGTGGCAGGGCTGAAAGACCATGACTATGTAAACAAGCAGGTGTTTTGCAAACTCTTGTGGTCAAGGATTTCATATGCTTCTGCAATGCTTCACACGACTGTGCCTTGGCACTAATAGCAAAATAAATGCTTGATAATTTCCATGCAGTCAGTATCATGATGTATGTGTTCTGAAAGCATCCAAGTGCTAACAAGCCATCCAAGTATTCAATACTGATTGTTTTTCTGTGTATTTTAAATGGATGTGTGGGGATTTTTTGTCAGGTGTCTAACTGTGGAGTTGTCAGAAGCCCAGCTGTCAGGTAACAAAGAGAACAGGCGCCAGCGGGAGAACAGGAAGAGGCACAGCAGCGGTATTTATGAAATTGCCTTCAGGCTTCAGCGACCATCTCTGTATGTTGCTGGTTATGTTCCTGTTTTTGTAAGTTTCTTTTAATAGACTAGAGAGTTCTCCTCTGATAACAGAGTTCAGTGCTGGTACGTGATTGATTTCCAAGCAGCAGCTGGAGTTACTAAGCAGTCAGGCAGGAGAAGTTACAGACCTTAGTAGCAGGAAGCAAAGGACTTGGGTTTCCTCCTGGCTTTTGGGTCCTTTTGGCAGTTGTGCAAGGCTCTGGTGCATATATGAGCGTATTTTGTTGAATACCCGAGCAGAAATGCCCCGATGCGTCTGCTCCAGCTGCTGTCGCTGCGCTAGGCAAAGCCCGGTCCTCTCAGTTTCTGACAGCAAGTTTATTAGCAGAAGGCCTGAAGCTGGGTGAGGAGCGCTCCTTGCTTGCCCACTCACCTGCCTGCACATCTCCCTTACTTGCCCATCAGGCCCTTTGCTTGCCGCACAGCAGCTCCTAGTGGCCTCTCTGTAGGTCACTGCCCAGAAATCCTGGGATTTGTTGTGTAGTCCAAAATCTGGCTCCTCTACCAATTTTCCCCTTACCGCTGCTCTGCACATCAGGACGGCGTTAAAGCAGTTGGTGCGGAAGGTGAGCCAGGGGCTGTCCTTCGCCCTCGTTCGGCGTGATCCATTTTAGAGCAGGTTGTGGTAACCTGCAAGGGAAAGGGAGGCTAGGGAGGTGGTTTCCTTCTCTTTGAGAACAAAAAGTTATCTTGCAGGCAATGCCGGGTCTGCACAGGCTGGTATCGCCCTGGTATTGCGTAAATCAGAAGTGAAAAATCTCTCAGTGCAACTGAGGGTAAGCCAGGAGGAGGAAGAGGAGAAGAAATGAGATGCTGAGGACGTTTTATTACATCAGGAAATGAGATGTATGCAATGGCCCTATCTGTGCATCCACTCTCTCCAATAATTATTTTAACGCTTAGATCAGGTTCAGCCTGGCAGAAGTTAGAAGTCCTGGAGATAATAAATTTCCCGCAAGTTGGGCGGGTGGGGGAGCAGCTGAGTAGCAGAAACAAGCTCAGATGAGTGCTTCTGCCAAGCCAAGGCAGCAGCGTGAACCTTTTAAAGGTAACGGAAATGGATGGGAAAGGTATGGTTGTTCTAACCACAAAATCACCTCTGAGTTCCTTCCTGGGCACCAAAAACCTGTCCTTTACACACAAAGCTGTAAGAGACTGGGTTTCGCACCTCCCACGGTTTGTGGTTCCTGGAGCATGAGGTGAACAGGCCCCAGCGCGTGGCCGCGGAGGCAAGGAGACGGCTCGGCCTCCCTCTGCACCCGCTTGGGGAGCGAGCACCTCATGGGGCTGGTGTTGCAGAGGCTGAGCCCTAACAGCCCCTCTCGGGAGGGCTCCTCCGCTCCTGGGGCTGCATGGCTCAGTGGCAGGTGGGAGTGGCCCCGTGAGACTTTTGAGCCCGCAGAGACCCATTTTTCTGCCCCAAAAATGGTTTCATGAGAATTTTCTTCCTGCATCTTTTCATTAGGATACATTCGCTGGAAGGGACTCCAAAACAAAGCTGACCCGGTTGCTTCTACCATGGCCTTCGTTAATAAAAATTATCCTTGATCTCAGAATAACCCAGGAAACATCTGGATTATGATCAAAAAGTGCCTTATTTGCAGCCTTGTCTTTATCACGGTGGAAAGAAAGAAGAAATTAAATGAAAAATGCCATTTTTATTCTCCCTCAAACCAACATGGGCTTTCTGAGTCCTGGGAAAGTTCTTCCCAAGGTGGCTGAAAGCCTTAGGTTGGATCAAAGTGAGGTCCCACCTGGAGAACATCTGCCTAGACTGAACCCCATGAGTTTGGAGGGGAAAAAAAATGCAGCAGAGGGTGAAAATGGCCGGTGTTCCCCATTTCTAGTCTAGGGACACATTGGCCGGTCAATGGCATTGTGGGAATTTTGGGGGAGGCATGGAAGGGGAAGGTTGGTGCAGGACATCTTCTGTCTTAGCTCCCTTTGTTTGGACAATGACATGATGAGAAATGGGGATTCCTTCAGTGTGGTGGGTTCTGGAGGGCCACCACTGTCAGTGGGTCTTCTCACCCAGTGTCACCCCATCACAGGGGGAGGAATCTTATCATGGGGGTTGTCATGATTTTAGGGCCGGGACTCAAATGTTGGGACAGCTGGGTGGAGGGAGAGAAGGACGAGCCGGTGCATTGGCCATACCACGTGTAGAAGACCTTCCCTGTCCCCTCCACACCATCTCAGTGTGTTCCCACCAGCCCCACAGCCACGTGATGGAGCAACCAGGCCCCCCCGCCTCCCCCTGCTTCCTGGAGGACCTCCTGGAGGTTCTCAGTATGTGGTGGCAATGCCACCGCTCCTGTCATCCCCACCCACCCAGGGGACAAATTAAGGTCCAGCGTCCCTCCCCCATCACATCCCCTTCCTCCCCTGTGGTTTTCCTGCCTCTTTGCTCTTGCGTGAGGGCTTCCTGCCCAGGGCTGGGTGGAGGGGAAGTGGCACTTAACAGTCACAGCCACTGCCAGTGACAGGGACACCGAGGATCCACCAGCCAGGCCGGGGGTCTGGGAAGGGACATGTGAGTCCCAGAGGTACAGGAGGGAAGGCTGGCGGGGTGGGAGGTCTTGGGGAGGACCCGAAAGATCTGGGGGGGAGGGTGCGACTAGAAGGTCTGGAGGGTGACTGGGAGGTCTGGGGGGCGCAACTGGGAGATCTAGATGGACAACTAGGATGTCTGGGGGTGGAAACTGGGAGGTTGGATGGGGGCAAATGGGTGGTGTGGTGGTCCGCTGGGAGGTCTGGGTGGACAGCTGGGGGCAACTGGGAGGTTTGATGGGGGGGCAAATGGGTGGTGGCCCACTGGGAGGACTGGGGGACAACTGGGAGGTCTGGGTGATGCCAAGATGGAGGGAAAGACCCAAGAGGGGTAAAGGAAGAAGAGGAGGAGACCTCAGAGAGCAGGGAGAAGGAAGGAGGGGTGGTGGGATGGAGGAGAAAGGGAAGGGCCATGAGGAGGGGGGAGATGGGGTGTGGGTTGGGGGGATGGAGAGATGGAGGGAGGAAGAGTGGAAGAGATGGCAGGAGGGAGGGATGAAGGCGAGAAGGAGAGATGAAGGGGTGAGGGATGGAGGAAGGAAAGGATGGATGGACAGATGGATGGAGAGATGGAGGGAAGGAGGAAGGGCAGGATGGATGCAGAGGTGGTGGGAGGGAGGGGTGGAGAGACAGATGCAGGGATGGAAGGAAGGAGGGAGGGATGGACAGAGGGAGGGATGGGGAGAGGGAGACCTGCATTTTCTCCGGAGGATTCTGTGTCCCCCTCTCCCCACAGCCCCTCCCCACCCAACGCCACGATGTCCTCATCCCCCGCCAATGCCTCGTTGCACCCCAACGCCACATCCGCCCCCGTCCCTGGCACAGCGC